CGACCTCCAAGCTTTCGGCATTTGCTTTCACCAAAAGCTAAATGTTTTAATAGCGTTAAAACTGTGTTGATCATCAGGTTCTTTGAGGCACTTAATCAGAAACATTTAAAGCCCTTAAAATGCCTCCAAAAGTTGGTGATGGATCAGCAACGTTCATCAATAATGGAGTCTCCATCCATTGGTTTTTCTTTTTACGTGTATAACATTTCTAAAACTGTATTTTAATAATGGAATAAATGTAAATGTTTGTTAGTTAACATTTTGGTCCTTGTTTTCCTTTTTGTGGCTTCGCTGTTCACATGAAACAGTAAAAAGGGAGAATTCAGTACAGAATGGGGTCTTTATACAGGCTGTGTGCAGCATCTTAAGATGTCTGGTATTAAGTAATCAGAATTTTAGGCCTTAAAATGCCTTTAATTTAATTAAAGACCTGTTAAAATCATATTTAAAATGTTTCTGTCTTGCTTTTTTATTAATCAAAGGGAATTTGACATTTTTTTGCCAGTATAGTATGTAAATAGGTCTTATTGTGTTAATAATCTTATTTTAAAAGATATAGCTGGAAGAATAAAGTTTTTGATTTTCTTTATTTCACAAGCAGCCATTTTGACATGAAATGGTAGGGTAAACACAGGTGTTACTAATGACACTAATTAAGGTTTTGTTCAGGTCAAACAGAGTCTGGGTCCTTTTGTTCATGTTTGCTTCACTGGAAAGGCTTTGTGTCAAAGTGGCTGCTGTGAAAGGTCTGCTGTCAACAAATCATCTGAAAAGACCAAAACCAACAATGTCCTCTTTTTTTCCTCGATACTTCATGACTTCCCTGTCTGTCTGTCTGTCTGTGCTCTGTGTCTGTCCTGTGTCGTGTCTTGTGTCTGTCCTGTCTGTCTGCTCTACTGAAGGTGTGTAATAACTGATCCAGCAAATATATGTTCATCATTTTAATCAAGGTCACCAAATATCTCTGAAAGCAAGCTGCTCACTGTAGTTTTTATAAACCGTTACTAAAACAAGGAAAGGAGAAAAATTTACTATTGACTATTTTCAGCGGTGGATGAATCCACATTCGTTGTTGCAATCTGTCTCCTGCATTATACAATAGAAAATATATTAAATATATCCTCCTCTTCTGATCACTGTCAGTTGATTTGTCTTATTATTTCCTGTTTATTTCCATTTGTTAAAGAAAACATAAGTGTGACGTTCAGTGCGTTGGTTCAGTGTTTCAGTGTATTACAACTTATTCTAACCATCAGGGAAAAGACCAGAAATATAAATTATAGTAAGTCATTCTCGTGTGTGCTGCCCAGAGCAGAGCTTTACAAACAGAAAATATCAAAACCAATGTCAGTGTAGTTCTAAAAATGTTCTAAATGTGCGACATTAAAAAGATTCTGCTGGTTCACTTTCACCCCAAAATGTCTAGAACATGTTACGCCTTTGCATCGCAGCTCATTGTCGTAAGTTAGATCGATATTGAAATATCATATCAGTGATGCTAAGCTAAGCTAACTGGCTCTAACTTCATATTTAACAGACTGATATGTCAGACTTCTCGTCTAAAAAGTCAAACTATTTCTTTAAGTTGACCTTTGCTGCCTGTGTAGTATTTTAGAGCAGTGGTTCCCAACCTGGGGGTCGGGGCCCCCACTAGGGGTCCCCAAGGCTTTACAGAAGGGTCGCGAGGCCTTTTTGATTTTAAGGGGTGTAAGAAAACTTAAAAAAAAATATACACAGTAGGACTATATTTCAGCATTTAGTTAATTTATGTTCTAAAGTTATTATTATTATTTAAGATCTAAAGTTTACCTTAAGTTAGATTCACAGAGCGTTGACTCTCTGATAAACAGCCTCGAGAGACGAGTACAGACAGAGGAAAGTATAAAAACTCCTCCCTGATGAAATATTCAAAGGAAATAATCTCAAAATTCATCCAAATGTCACTTTTGTCAGAGGCTGTCAGGTTCCTTTAAGGAAAAAGGTTGGGAACTGCTGATTTAGAGGACTTCCACCCTTTATTTACAAGTTTTATTATTGTTTCCTCTCTCTTTCCACACTTGGTAAGTGTATGGAAGCCCATTTCTGCTAATGTGATGGGGTAAAAAGGATTCTGAGTCAATATTTTGACTTAGTATCGTAAAATAATGACTTTGTGATACTAAATTGTTGTTTTAAGATGCAAATTCAATATTTTAAGAAAGTTTCTCAGAAAAAAAAGATTGTGTAAGTCATTATTTACACAATCTGTTTTCCTTACATCATACTGGCAGAAATAAGCGTCCATAGTTAAGTAGTCTGCTAATCCAGGTTGCACTAAAACCAGGACTTGAAGGGAATATTGTGGCTCCTGCAGCCCCTCATCTTCAGGGTCCATGTGAGGTTGTCTTGGCCCCGCCCCCTGGAGCCGGCCCAGCCAATAGGAGCTCTCCCTGGATTATCCTGCTGTTATAAAGCCTGAGGATGCAGCGGCTGCGGGAGGAGCGCGCACTTAAAACCAAAAAGTGTCCATCAAAGCAAACTGTGGAGGAGAAACCCGATCCAACTAGGGCTCAGCAGACAGAGCAAGAAGAAGTGATGGAGCACTCCAAACAGACTCAGTACAGCTCAAACGAGAAGAAAGACACCGGGGACGGCGGCTCCGTGCTCAACGGACACTTTGACGGGATGGTGAAGCGGCCAGCCGGCGGCACCGGGCGCGCAGCCGCTCCCCAGCCTCCGGGCGCGGAGTCCGGCGCGCACCGGGCGGCCGCCTCGGTGATGGAGAGCTGGAGGGAGGAGCGCACCAGGAGCGTGGAGGACAACGAGATGAGCCTGCCGTCCCTGGCCGCCGCTTACACCACCATCCTGCGGGGGCTCGGGGAGGACCCGCAGCGGCAGGGGCTCCTCAAAACCCCCTGGAGAGCCGCCACCGCCATGCAGTTCTTCACCAAGGGCTACCAGGAGAAAATTATCGGTGAGTTTTTAAATCCACAAAGCCGCTCAGAGGCTGCTGGGATTTGTCCTGCGGTTCAACAGGTGGCAGGGTCCGACACAGGACAGACAACAAAACTCACTTCACAACCGTTCCTGGGCCAGTTTACAGCCTGAGGAGTGTAGGTTATATTAAAATAAGACTTTTTTTAACTGATCAGAGGGAAGTGGTGGAATGTAACTAAGTACTTTTACTCAGGTACTTATTTAGTACTTTCACTGCCTTTCATAGGGAGATAGGCCTATTGTACTTTATAATAGCTGTATTGTTCCAGTGTTACAGGAAGTATTCAGATCCTTTAGTTAAGTAACAGTACAAATACCACACTGTGCCAATACTCTGTTACAATCTAACTTTGGAAATGTTACTTGAGTAAAAGTAAGTAATCAAGGAAATTGTTCTTGAAGTTTTACAAGTGTAAAATGTCTCGTGTGCTGCTGTTATACTGTTTATTAAATCATTAGATTCTTATGACTCAGACATTAATAAGAACTGCAACTAATGTTTATATTTTCATTGTCATTTTTATTTTTATTATAAGTTTGGTTTGTAAAAAGTCAAAAAAAATAGTGAGAAATACCCAAAGTGACACCTTCACATTACTTGTTTTGTCCAAACCTTCAAAATTGTTACAAACACATTAAAGTTATTAAAAAGAAAAGCAGCAAATTGTCACATTTGAGAAAACTAATCGATTTTCTGTCAATCAATAACAGTTTCAGCTGTGCATTTATAAACTGTTTAATTTAAAAAAAAACATTATATTTTATAAACTCTCTGTATGTTTTACAGGCAAGAATCTGAATCTGTACTTAGTTACATTACACCACTGACACAGAACAGCTGATCAGTTTATAGAATATAAAGAAGCATTAAATCACATAAAGGTAATAATAAGTCAATATTACTAATTTGAGTGGAGCCCTTTCTGATAGGGCCTTGTGAGTACTTTTGATACTTTAATTACACGTTGCTCATATTTCTACTCAAGATTTTGATACGTTAACTATGATGAATAAAAATGAAACTAATTATCAGTTAAGGGTCAAGATTTTATAACTCTGTAAAGTTATTTTGGGGTTTTTAACTGTTGGTCGATCAAGACAAGGTATTTTTTTACTTTCAGGTGAAAGAAATTTGTCTTTTTCAGTGTTTTCTGGCATTTTATAAACTAAATAATGAATCAAAGAAATAATCTCCAGATGAATCCATGAAAGAGGAATCATCAGTTGCAGCACAGCTAAAACTTTTGGAAACTTTTGGACCTCAACTAGAATCACAATTGAAGTTTAGAATAATCTAACTGTTAATAGACGCAGTAGAAATTAAGAAATTAACATTTTATCTTGGGTTAATGTTAGGGTGATTACTTTCTGTTACTTTTTGGTCAACACCAAAACACTAAATTCAGGCAGTAACTCATAGAGCAGCTGGGAGGCAGAATGTTGTTCTTCTTCCTGCTTTAAAGGACCAGTTTGTAGTCGGATTTAGTGACATCTAGTGGTTAAGTTGCAGATTGCAGCTAACTGAACACAGCTCGCGTCCTACTGTAGAAACACAGTGACCTGCATCTGTACATAAAAACGTCTCATTTTAAGGTAAAAAAAAACCGCTTCCTATATTCAGGTGATTTAACACGAATGAAAACATACCTGTGATTATCATTATATTCCATTTCTGCCAATAGATCCTCCTAAATGTTACAAACTGGACCTTTAAAGACAAAATAATGGGTAAATTTCCACCCAGTGAAGGTGTTTCTTTCACTAGAGGCTGTGATAGTGACCAGAAAGGACTGCTAATAATCCCCATTTATACTAAATGCAACTATAGTCTGTAACGTCCTACGTAGCTGTGTTACATGTAATCCATTACTCCTCAAACCTGTTGCTGTCAAAGCTAAAAAAGGTTGTTTTTATAAGCTGAGAGAGTCACTGAAATTAAAATAAGATCGATTTGCCCGATCGCAGCCGACAGAAACCCTTCAGATCTGCCTGCTTGATGTTTGATTCTGCTGCTCCAGAGTTACTTCCAGAGAGGATTTGCTGAGTCACAAGCAGGTGGGCGGGGCAGGAAGGGGGGGAGGCGAAGGCACCTGGAGAGGGGTTGATACGCAGTGTCAGGTCCACATTGGCCAGCTGGAGTCGGGGATCTGCCCCCTTCTCTGTTCTCCGCCTCAGCCTCCTCCAGAACTCCCATCTGGAGGCAGTTTGGCTGTTGTGGGGGTCGTTTTGTGTGTTATGAAGCCGTAACGCTCAAAGAAGGAATGCAGAGAAAATATGTGAAGACTCCCAGTGAAAGTCCTCCACCACCACCACCACCACCACCACCTTCTTCTCACCTCACAGCAAAGGGTGGACAGTGCTGAAGATAACGATGACGCACATGTGTTGTTCGTCAGGCGACGGCGGTGGCGGTGGTGCTCTGTCTGCCTGCTGATTGGCTGTTACTGGAGACTCCCCTTTGACTTGTTGGAAAGCAGAGAACACATAAAACACATGTAGTTCTCAGAGTGCTGGATGTTTGTGGAGAGAGGAAACATTTTTAGTGAGTGTCACACTGTTTGATCAGTGTGTTCACGTGTGTGTGTGTTCACGTGTGTGTGTGTGTGTGTGTGTGCAGGTCACAGGTTCAGCTTTTATCACGACCTGATCCTGAAATCCTCTTGTTGTGGCGCACATGACCAACAAAACTGTAATGAGGAAAAGTTATGCAGAGATTAAGCAGGAATTCTGAGCTTGTTACAGGAGCCTCATTACAGATTAAAACATTCCTCTGTTTAGGAAACACGTTTTTGCCTTTAAAGGTCCAGCGTGTAACATTTAGGAGGATCTATTGGCAGAAATGGAATATAATAATATTAATAACTATGTTTTCACTGGTGTATAAACACCTGAATATAGGAATTGTTGTGTTTTTATTTCCTTAGAAAGAGTTTTTATCTATATACTCCCTTGCCGTATTGAACTGCCACCAATCACCAATGCTGGCTCTAGAATGGGCCTTTTAACGTTCATGAACGAGATATTGAAACAAAATATTACCGGAAACGCAAAAAATTTATTTTCATGTCATGTCATACATGTCAGCGATCTCATAGTAAGTGTTTCACTTTGACATTTTGTAGTGTTCTGTTTTTTAGAAGCAGCTCTTGTACCACGAGTTAGATTCCAGTGGTGGCAGCGTGGGAATATTTCCAACTCGTGTAATCAAACAATTCCAGTAACCCCCCCCCGCTGGCTCTAGAATGGGCCTTTTCAGTTCCTCCTACACACCTGGAACAGGAGGGTGTGGCAAGGGTGCTGCAATCAGCAACTACACCGCTAAGAGCCACTAAAACCTGCACACTGGTCCTTTAAGTAAAAGTACTAATAAAAGTACTAATACTACACGGTAAAAATACTTAGTTTTTCCTGCATTTAAACTGTTAAAGGTCCAGTGTGGCAGATTACAACCCCCTCGCCTCACCCCCCCTATTCCAAGTGTGTAGAAGAAACAAAAAAAAAAAACATACCACGAGTTAGATTCCAGTGGTGGCAGCTGGGAATATTTCCAACTCGTGTTAATCAAGACAATTCAGTAAACCCCCACCCGCCACACAACACACAACAATGGGGCCCATAACTGTGTTAAAGGTGGCTCCCCCGACCCACACGCCTTTCTGTGGTGTATTTCCTTCTTGTGTCGGGTTGCTAGCAATCACTTTTTGTAGCACAAACAGCGTCTTCACTTTCGGTCATAATGACCTTTAATAAACAGAAACCAATTTGGAGGTAACGACACAAACAGTGTATTTAATAGGCAGGGATGTGATAACGACCGACGCGCCTTCCTGTGTATTTGGTTTGTTTGGTTTTATACCATCAGTTTGCGCGAGATCTAAACACTTAAATGAACATATCCATCAATGGCATGAAATGTTTGTGTGGATAGCAGTACGATGTGTTACGATGGGGGTCATTTCCCTCTTTACCTCCATTTTCTCCTCCAGGGTTAGTCGGTCTAAAAACGTCGTTTTCTTCGACCCCTTAGTCCCGTCTCTTTTTTAACGACGTGTTTATTCCAATCGGGCAGGAATTATGTGCCATTAATTATAACAGAGTGATCTTTAAAACAGGTTCCCTATTCAACCACTCAAAATGATCAGCTACGGTAATTCCCCAGCTAACTAGCTAGCCACTACCAACACCTGTTTTTTGAGGCCGAAAGCTTGTGGTGGTTACCTAGCAAAACACACCACATAAACAACAACCAAGTCTTCAGCTTTAGTCATAAATGTTTTTTATAACAGAAACACAATTTACTGAGTGGCAGATCTGAGAACATCATGACTCTAACGTAGCTACAAACTGTGTGATGTGTGTTTGAAAGCTGGGTGTCAGGGTGACTCATGAGTCAAGCCAAGGGTTAGATGAATGGTATAGGAGACGTGTGTGTTTGTGCGTACCACACAAACACACACACACACACCGACACAACACACTCTGGTGTCTGAAATAAGATGATTCGTGTTTTTTTATGTCATTTTAATCAGTGTTTCCTGCTTCATTCAGGCGTGTCACATTGTGGCTCCTCTCACACCACACACACACACACATATTGTAGGGCAGCACTATTGAATGGCGAGCTGATGATGAGTGGCACTGTCATTAAGTGATACCCAGGGCGTCTGAACCAGCTGCCATTTATTAAGTTAAGGTTGACTTAAGGTTATTTTCCTTCAGGGTGTGTGTGTGTGTGTGTGAGGTGTGTGTGTGCGGTGTGTTTTGTTGTGTGTGTGTGTGTGTGTGTGTGTGTGTCTGTTTATTCATACTGATGGTGTAAAAAACTACAGTGTGGAGGTGGGCGGAGTGTTTGTGCAATTAAGTATTATTGTCAATTAACTTGTTGTGTCTTATTTTTGTATTTTCTATCATGACAATTGTACAAGTTAAGTGTTGAAATTAGGCTGCAAATAACATCCCCTCATTAAAGCAGCTATAAAATATATATTTCTAAATAACAATCAGGGTTCCCACACGCCCTGGAAAACCTGGAATACCTGGGAATGTAGAGACTAGTTTCCCAGTGATGGAAATTGATTAAAATGATCAAATATCCTCAAAATAATCTATGTTTCCTAGAAATTTGTATTGGTTTTTAGCCTCTCACACAGATCAACCTGGGTGTGTATTATGTTTAAAACTGGACTGTTGGTAATATAAACTGTGCGCAGTGCTGGTTTGTAGCAATCTTGTATAGCGATCTTTGTAACGTCCATTAAAACTGTAACTGTCTGTCCTGCATTGTGAAGAAAATTCCTGGAAAATGATTTCTTAAAAAGAGTGTGAACCCCCCCTCACAGTGGTGAACCTGCAGAGAATAAGCAGCTCCCATCAGCTTTATAGCTACTTTCCGCTCAATGTTCAGCTTTCTGGTTCAAAACTTTACTGTTCTGGTTCATTCATAGCTTCATTTTCAGAGAAAAGGATCTATAAATCCTCCGTGATCTGCTCAGCACTAAGTCTAAGTGGAGCATTAAGCAGCTAAAGATCCAGATATTTCCTTCAAGGGATTGCTAGAGACCAAAAACAAAGCTAAAAGAGAGTGAATATTGGACTTTTTTTCATCAGGTTGACACTAACACAACTCAAAATGTATCATAATGATAACCCCAAAATATCAAATATAAGTTTATTGTCCAATAAGATGAAGAAAAGCTGCAAATCTCCACAGTTGAGAAGCTGGATTTAGAGAACATTGTTACAACAAACACGAGCAGTCAGAAGATCAGATTTTAAACAAACCTCCAGGTCAGTTAAACTTATTTACTTATTTATTTATTTCTAAAAGGCTAAAAAATATATTCAATATTATAAAAAGTCTGATTGTCTGACCGCTCATGTTTCTTACCTGTTGGACTTCATTATAACAATGCTGCCAAGGTTCCCGGATCTTCAGCAGTTAACTTGGTTTCAGTGTTATCAGCAGCAAAGTCTTGCTTCCACTTTGTTCCTAAACTCTCCAAACTCTCCAAACAGGATTACCACTTTATTACAGTGTCAACCTGAAGGCAGACTGCATCCCGAATCAGTTCTTCTTTGTTTGTGGATCAATAAAGTGTGTCCAGGAGCTGGTTAAACTCTGGTGTAGATCACACAGATTTCAGATAGAAGCCATTCCTAAAGGTCTGCTGTGTAATAATATTCATAGCTATGATTTTTATTCGTAGTTTCTCCTTCACGCTTGGAAGGCGAGGGTGAAGCGAGGGAGTTTCAATCTGTGACTACACCACTAGATGCCACTAAATCCAACACACTGGTCCTTTAACACCCTCTAGCCTGTATTTATTTGCCTACACATACTTTCTATTCATTTTTATCCTTTTTTATTTATTAAAATTAGTTTTTAGTATAATTTGAATCGAATATCTGATGGGTACATAGCAAACTAAGAATTTCACTGCACTGACTCTTTGTTATTTTTGCATATGAAGCCTTTGAATCCTTAAACAACTATTGGATGGATTGTCATTAAATGTGGTACAGACATTGATGGTCTCCAGAGGATGAATCCAACTGACTTTCATAATTTGATTTTCCTTTAGCACCACCATGAGGTTGACTAATGTAATATTGTCACATAACAAAATTATGATGATGTGAAATTGTTTTGGGGGTCTGTGCAAAACAAAAACATGTTTTCTTACATCTGGAGAACAAGATTCGTAGGCCAGGACATCTCTGCAGCTCTACAGTACTTCATTATAATGCCGTTACATTTTACCTTCCATAAAACATTGAAGCTGTTGTGATTTTCTGTATATTGCACTTGGCCATATTGCGATTTTGATAATATTTCGCTTAACTGTGCAGCCGTAATTTAAAGCGTGTTTAATGTTAAAATGTCCTGCAACTGTAAAATGTGTGTTAACATTTATTGTTTGCCAGGTTAAAACGACAGTTTCCACCAGCGTGAGTGTTCAGCTGCACGGCGGTGAGGAACAGCAACTATCAGAACCATCAGTAGAAAGATCGATCACAGTAAATGGACCTAAAATGAACACTGATAAATCGCAGCATCATAAAAAAATCCAATCAGACAGTCAAAACAAAGCCATTGGACTCATGGTTTCTTGTGCAGAGGAAAATCTAACTGCCCCAAAGCAGAACGCCTCATCTGCAGAGAAAAAGCTTTCAAAAGTCTCAAATAAGCTCAAAAGAGTGTGTGTGTGAGGGGGTGGGGGAATCTTCATGATGAAGGGTGTCATGGCATTATCACTCAAACTGCGTCATAACAAACAAAAATGGTAAAAAACAGAGACTTTAAGAGCATCTGAATGTGTCTCTTCTCATCTACCTGTTACCCTGTTTACACACACACACTCATACAATAAGCCTGAAGCAACAAGTGAGTGTGCTCTCTATTGTTTCAGTGACCTCGTCCTCTCTCCCTCTGACAGATAGCCAGTCAGGAAATTAAAAAGTGCCGCGGTGAGAGCGAGAGGCGTCTGCGTCGTCAGAAACAGATAAAGCAGTTTATTGAACCCCCGGCAACTGAAAAATGCAATAAAGCAACAACAGGAAGGAGTGTATGGAAGCAGAGCTATAATTAGACAGCGATGTTTGCCAGAGAGAAACACCAAAAGTTGACGCTAAAGAGAGACGGAGGTGAACAGGGCGTCCCTGGTGGTTTCCATCTGTCTGTCCTCGATGCATCCACAGCTAAACGCTGGCAAAGGACATACAATAAAGATCTATAACACATAACTGGGTTAGATATCATTAAATCATTAAATTAAATCAGGAGCATAAAGTGTTTGTTGTGGCGTTTCAGTCACAAATAAACAGTAAAAGAAGAGAAGTAGCATCCTGTCAGGTGGAATTCATTGCCAGTGCATATAGAGCCAGCAGCCATTTTGACACAAAATAGGGTAAACACAGGTGTTAGTCATGATACTACTAACCGTTTGTCAGGCAAATTTGCCTACTGAAGGTCTTGTATTCTAGTATCTTTGCAACTTTTTGGAGAATCATAAATATAAAATGTAAATGTAAAATATATCTGTTAAATTAAAAGAGCTGTGCAGTGTTTAAAACGAAGATGATGGAATATTGAACAAGGAATTGGTCTACGAATTACAAAAAATGCAAAATATATTTAAAAAAAGCACTTTCTTAAAGAAACAGGTAGATCAAATGAAAGAATAAATAGTGTAGATGGACTAATGGTCGAATGAGTGTACAGAGGATCAGTTAGGGTGGTAGCCAAGTATGTAAATGTGTACAATAAAGTTTAAAAAGAGAACTTGTTGCTATTTTTAGGAGATTATTCCCTTTTGTTTCATCTCTCCTCCGTTTTTTCCCGCAGACGTGCTGAACGACGCCATCTTTGACGAAGACCACGACGAGATGGTGATCGTCAAAGACATCGACATGTTCTCCATGTGTGAACATCACCTGGTGCCCATCTTCGGCAGGGTGAGAGAAGAACACACACACATACACACACACACACACACACCAGGGTTCAACACCTGTTACCTGATGGCAGGAGGAACCAGACAGTCCGCCATTGTAAACCGCCATGTTTCTACAGCAGTTGAGGACAAACCAACCAAACACTGGCTGTAGAGGGACCAGGTTATTTAGTTGGTTGCAATCTGCAACTAGATGCCACTAAATCCTACAAACTTTCTTTTTTAACCTTCAAAACCCTGATCTCTAACTATAGACACAGACAGAACACTCAACTACTGTATGTCAGCAACTGATATATATATATATATATATATATTTTTTTTTTTTTTACTTTTATAACAAAATAACACAAAACCACAAACAAGAAACAACTACATACAGGTATTTTAGATAAAGATAGTTTTGGTTTGGTTTTCATCCTATTAGCATTGATGCAAGGTGGATACATTTCATGTATTTGCTAAAAAGATGCTATAAACTACCAAAAAATAATTTAAAATCTTCCATGTAGAAACCATATAAAAAAAAATACATTAAATGGCCTGAAATTGACAATTACACGTTTTAAATAGAAAAAAAGATGAAGAATGAACTTTAATTTAAACATGTTACAACATACAAGTGGCCCGTGAATCAAAAGGTTTCTGTAAAGCTGCACTCGAGAGGGGCACATCAATAAATATACACTGCTTACAGTAGCTGCAGCCAAGCTTCTGTAGAGTAGCCTCAGAGAAAGCTGCAAATATTCATAATTTAATACAAGAAAAAGTCACAAACATTAAAAACATGCACAGATGTGTATCTTAAAGACAGTTTCTTTCTGACGTTTATCTGGAGGCCGCTGGTCTGAACAACAGAGACAGAGAACATGAGAAACAATCAGATTAGCTGAGATCTGTTTATCCTGCCTCTCTTTTGTTGTTTTTCTTGCCTCCTCGCTGCTCCTTTGACATCATTACTCTCCACTAAAACCCGATTGGCCTCGTCCCTCTTTCTGATTCTTCTTCCTCTGCTTCCTTTATCCCTCCATCTTCGCCTGCAGGTGCATCTCGTTTAAGACAATAGTGGCTGGCAGCTGATCCTTTTCCACCGGTGTAAATGGGCTCTGATGACAGCAGTGAATCACACAAACACTTACCACACCTCCTGTGTGTGTGTGTGTGTGTGTGTGTGTGTGTCTGGTAGCCATCAGGTGGTTGTTTATGTCCCTAAACCTCCTCCCTCCCCTCTTCACCATCAGCAGCGTTGCCTCTTATCCAGCCTCTCTCATCTGTCCGTCTGTCTGTTGTGTATCTCAGTGAGTCACCACACAGAGAGAGGCCTCCTCCTCCTCCTCCTCTTCCTCCTCCTCCTCTATTGTTGGCCGGATGCCATGCAGGTAGCCGCTGGCTGTCTGATAAACTGTTTGTCTGCCACACAGGAGCAGTTTATTGCAGGCTGTCACATCAACTGTTTGGAGAACTTTTGAAGAGAAAATACGTTGCAGAAAAACCTCATTTGGTCTCATATTCAGCCTTTAGAGCAAAAATATGTGAGATTTGGTTGCAAAACATTTGTCTGTACACGTTATAATTACATTACTTATGATAATAATATAGCGAGTTGACAGCTCAGTCAAACATCAAGCAGGTGCAACAATGGACGACAGCAAACAGCTAAAATTACTGACTAGTCCATCAGCAATAACACCAGCTCACCGTCTGTCTGCAGCCTTTTATTTCACAAAGCTCTCGACAACAACTTAGCTCTTACCTTCCTCCGTTACCGTCCTCTTAGGTCTCTTCACCTCTGCCAATAGCGATGTCAATAGAAGCTGCTGAGCTCAGTTACATCGCCCGCTCGCCCTGCACAACGCCAGCGCTGCTCTCCATCAGCATTCCCCTCTCAGGCCTCACTAAACACCCTTTTCCCAGCAGTCAAAGCTCTGGTGCTAGCAGTGTAAACATCAACACCCAGGGCAGTACAGCTAAGATAACCAGCTAACAGCAGTTATATTTGGCAGCAGTTACTTTAATGTCCAGGAAAAGGCGGAGCAGCTGGAGGACATCTGAGGGAAAACCAGAAAACATTTCCTCCATAAAATATGATTTACATGATTTACAGTTTGAACAAAATCAGCAACATTGTTGTTGGTGTGTGACTTCTCCTGCAGAGCGTTACGCACTTACAGTTACATAATGCGAGAACGGGCATATGGGGTGCAGAGTGGGAATGACAGAGGCACCATTTACCTGATTACAATCAGTGTCCATCCACGGTAATACACAAACATGTCGGGCTGTTATCAGGCTGATATCGTGTAGTCTGAATCTGAAGGGATTAAACCAAAGGGATTCAAGTTATGAAGACAATTTGATTTTATAGAATGAGAACAAAGGCGGGATTAGTGGGTTAGGACACTTCCTGTGTGTTCACAGTGTCCCTAGTTTGAGTCCATCTGAAGACTTTTGTTTGATGTTGTCTCCAACCTCTCCCCTAATATCCTACACCAAATAATATACACAAAGAATAAGAAACGGGAGCCCTGGTAGCTCACCCATTAGAGCTGGTGCCCGATGTACCAAGGCAGACTCTTTGTTGCAGCTCCATGCGCTGCCATGACTCCTTAGACAAAAATGCTAATTTCACCGAGCATATCATCGTAACTTCATTCAAAGTAAACAGAAACAAAATAAAACTCACCAGAAACCATCTTTAGTTAGTCTTTCCGCTGTTCTAACGATCTGCAGCTCTGGTTTGGTTGAAATATATCTGTAATTCATTAACGAAGATGAGAAAAAAATAGCTGTTTCAGTCGCTCCACTCAAATGGAAACGAGGGACTAACCTGCTCGGCCAGACAGGATTTGTTCACAAACCACAGAGAGGCTGCAATAACATCACAGGCAAAAGGAGCTGGCTGCAGTGTTTTAAATCTCATATAGGCTATGACCTTAAGAAACTTAAAGCTTTGGGCCACAAGAGGGTGGAAACGACTCTGTAACAGGCACACAGCTCTGATCTATTATCACCTTATAAAGTTGTTATTGTACAAACAGTTACCTATTTACACGTCCAAAATACACAGAGCAACATTCATTTACCGTCATATTTCTCGCCACCTGAGGAACATAAATCCAACATTCACTCTCCTTTCAGCGGTCCCCACCTACTCCTGAGAAAAATGCTGCTAAATGCTTCACTTTCTTCACCAGATAGTGGGACATTTAGGATACAGTGTGGTTAATCAGAGCCTGTTTGCTGTAAACGACGTTGATGAGAGCAGTGAGACAACAACAGTAAAAATGTGCCATTAAACTAAAGCTGTAAGCGGCTAAAGCAGACTCTGTAAGGCTCCTCTCATTCTGTATTATTATTATTTTCGTCGCTCGCAGCATGTGCCAGTAAATCTGAATAACGTGAGCAGATAAGTGAAAGAAGGCAGCCGTCACAGTCGGTGTGTTTGATGCCGATATGTCAGGCCGCTGCAGCACAGAGGGAGGGATTGGAAGAAAAAGGAGAAATAGAGATCTTTGCACGCTTGTTGCCGCTGCCCTTTCTCTCGTCTTGTCAACAAATTGCATTTGACATTTGAGTGTAGCGCACTGTGTGTGTGTGTGTGTGTGTAAGAGAATTAGAGCCTCCAGACATCCACAGCAGCAATTCTCCAGCTGGTGACTCCGTCTCTTCCTCCTCATGTCTGTTGCTCATCCTCCTGCCCTGCTCTCAGTTGTTGTCTTTTTGGTTTCTAAACTGTCATTTACTGACCACAAGAGCTAATATCTTCCATATGTTTCAGGAAAAACACTTTAAAACACATATTTTAGTGAAGTGACAACAGGGCACAGTTTACTGTTGTTACCACCCTAACGGCCACAAAATAAACATGTTGGCTCAACCAGTTGTGACCAGTAACATATAAAGTGGACCCGTAGTTCCCACTCTTTAAGAAATCATTTTCCAGGAGTTTTTCTTGACAATACAAGACAACAATGCTTGCTCACAACCGCCGTGCTTGAAAGTTCTCAGGTGAATTGACTCCAGTTTTTCCCTAATCGTAACATTAATTTGGCCACAGCCCAATAATAATCATTCAAATCAAGAAGAATTTGTTTTATTTGATGGAAAATGTATCTTTTCGACTATTAGCTCATAAAAATAAGAAAGGTAGAAACAATTGCACATACAATTCTCTTTTTATTATATATAAAGATATAACCGTCTACAGCATTTCCAAAATAGATTAGCTGCAAGCGGTGTGAACAGCTATTGACTGACATGGGAGCAGAAATAAAAAAGGTTAAGTTAAAACACTCCTAGGTTTGAGCTGAGCAAAGGGACTAAAATACAATTAAAGGACAATTTAGATTATTTCCAAGATATTTTGTCATTTTCATAAATGTCCAGGTGTTTCCATAAGTGGAAAACTAGTTTCTACATTTCCAGGTTTTCCAGGCTGAACCGTGTTTAAAGCAAAAAGGGTTTTATTAACAAATAATTCCAGTAAATATAACAGAAGCTGTGGGAGTGTGGAGGTCTGGCCAAAAAGAACAAAAGGATGGAGGAAGTCTGGGGTTAGCCAGAGTATCAAAACCATTGTAACCAAACCAGACCAAAAGATCTCCATCCTCAAAGAATGAAACACAACAATAAGAAAGCTAACACTGATGAGATCAACAGGCTGCTTTGTCTGGGAGAAACCTCCTGCTCCTCCCTTAAATAGGGGGCCAGGGCCACCAACCAATCATCCCCAGTGAGGTTGTTGCTATTTTCTCTTGGAAATTGACATTTTACATCGCTGATGTTTTTCTCCGTACAGCCGGTTTACTCTGTCTGCACCTTGACAATGTAACCTGCATATTGGTGTTTGCCCTTCACTCCACTACTCTCAGGCATACACACAGTCTGTCCTGCACTCCCTGTCCTCCTCATCATCATCATCATCCCAGACCAACATGATATCAGAAGATAAATAGCACAGCATATACCATATGTTGATGCATTTTAAGCTTTTTGCATGTCATTTAATGCCATTAGAGAGGGTGTATTTTATAAGTTTTGTACGTGGAGGGAAGGACAAAGTAATATAAATATACTAAATCAGTAGTTTGATCTGAGTTTCGTGCTTTGTACTGAGCGGACTCACTGAGGATGACTTGTCAATCACAAGGTAACCACACCCTAAAGCATACCCTGCACAAACAGCCCTTCTAGAAATGAGCCAAATATTCTTAAATATATATTTAAATTTTCTTGTATTGAGCAAAATAAGTCTGCCAATGGGGGTAAACTGATTTTGATTGGCTAGAATTCTTAAAACCTGCATAAACATGTAACCACTGAAAGACTGAAATGGGCCTTAAAAATAGAAAAAATGCCCAAAATGTAAGCAATTTGTGCTTATTACAAACAATGAAAACTCAGTTATTTAATACAGACCTTCTTTAAATAATTTTGGTAGCAAGATTAAAATAAGCAATTTGTCTCAACTGGAGGCAACAGTATTCTTATTTTTACCATTTTTTTTATTAAAGGTTGTGAGAAGTTGTGCAAGTGGTCTTAAAATAAGGAAAATAATCTTCTTGTTCTAGCTCAATAGCTCAAATATCTTATCAAGACAAAACAAGATTACTTATTACTCTTGCAAAACAGGCTTGACAAGATTACTTTTCTTTTTAGACAAAAAAATAAGACTAATTTCCCAGAAACTCGTTAGTTTCTTGAGCTGTCGTTTTTGCCCCCTGTTGGCCGTTAGAAAGAAGCTGTGTGTTCTGCATTGGCTTCACCTTTAAGACCCAGAAGCTCCGTCCACTATGTTTTAGTTTGCCATAATCAGGTGTGTCTTCAGTGGAAGCTTCAGTTAAGTGACATTATTCACTAAGTCGGTTTATCAATAAAACACCTGTGCCACAGATGGATGGAAATGCACCGATTGTCTCTTCCAATCAGCATTCAGGCAGGTGCATACTGGGAATCTCTACTAGGCGATTGGGACGTGTCCTGGAAAACCTAGAAATTTAGACAGCAGTTTTCCAGTCATTGAAACATCTGGAAAATAATAAATGACCAAATATCTTCAAAATAATCAATGTTATCATGGAAAATCTAAATTGTATGTTCGTCTAAACTGTGGCCAAATGAAAAAACCCTGGAAAGGTCCTTGGAAAACCATTTCTTAAAAAGAGTGGGAACCCTGGATGTTCCAGAACATGATGTCCACAAGGGCTCTCTGATGTTACTTATTGGCCACAAAAAACACTTTTCTACAAAAACAACCACAGAAAGGAGAGTAGCCTGTGGTGAAAGTTACCGATGTCCGCTGCACAACCGCTCTCGCCTCAAGCAGTGTTACTGGTTAACAGTCTAACTGAGCTTGGGAATTTATAATACCTTTACACAATGAGTGCTCTATCTATAGAGAGATCAGGGTTAACTAGAATGAAATATCTGATGTTTAATGTGTCACTTTGTGCAGGTTCACATCGGTTACCTCCCCAACAAGAGAGTTCTGGGTCTCAGCAAGCTGGCCAGGTGAGTACCTTTACTCTCATTGTGTATGTGTCTGTGTGTGTGTGTTTTCCCAGTGTTTAATTAGCCAACTTACTGTAGATGTGTGTGCGCGTGTGTGTGAGAGCTAGTGTGTATTTAAGCTGATTATTAAAACGTGTGTGTGTGTGTTTGTATGTGTACTAGTGTAGAATCTGATCCCACTGACCCCAATACCTTCGGGCTTATCGCACTAACACCCCTTACTAACGCAGTACTGGACATACACACTCACACTGAGATTAGAAACAGCCAAACCATTCACATTTTTAAGGCAGGAACGAAGCTCTCGGGCCGGCGTACGTTGTGGTGCGTTGTAGCTTCTGCTGCACACTGGGTGGCGCTACTTAAAGTCCGCATGTAACAGAAAACAGAGAGCTGTTTGCTTTCGCATATTTCCGTATTTCCTGCTAGGTTAGGGACTCTAATGGCGTCTGATGTTACTGTTGGCGACAGATTCTCTCAATAAAATATGATTCAGTTTCACCCAAATCACTGATAAAGTTGTGTTTCTGTACAGTAATCAGTGGGCTAGTAAAAATGCGTTACATTTTGTTTTAGAGGAAGACAAAATTACTGGATTTTGATATAAAAATACAAAGAAATTGAGTTTTTGTAACTTTTTTTTGGCATACATTGTTAAAAAGGGGAACAATATAACCTGAGAATGTGATCTTAGAGGGTTGAAATGACATTTTTCATTTCACCTGGACTTTAAAAACCTTTAAAAGACCACAATTATTTGTACTCTTATTTGAAAACGCAGGCAAATTATATAATTACTACCAAACTGTCTGTTGTGAACAATTTCACAGTTTACAGACTCCTGGTTTAATTACCTTTAATTAATCCTGCAAACATTCTGACCGTTCACACCCACACAATGCAGATTTTGTGAGTGTATAAGCTTTAAAAATGACAGAAAATGAACATAATGCTGAGATAAAGGCCTACTGTGTATATTTTTTAAAGTTTTCTTACACTCTTAAAAATCAAGAAGGCCTCACAACCCCTCTGAAGCTCTGGCGACCCCTAGTGAAGGTCCACCACTGCTCTAGTCCATATTTCTAACCTAGTATACCCATAATGTAACGATGAAAATAAAAATCCACTGCTTTTTGGGTAATGTTTTCTAAACTACACAACATTTGGATCGACCACAGCAATGATTTTTTTGTTTTAATATTTTAAAGATTTTTCCAGAGAAGCCCCAAAAGCCCCTAAACTCAAGTGTCCAACAAGACCTCCTGTACTTCACACTCCTGTCCTCGTAATGTTGATTAAGTCAACAAATCCGGCTTTAAAATGAGAAACAGGAACAAGATTACGAGTAGATTTCCCAGACCAGCAGCTCATTAAGAAGAATCGAGCCCTATAGTCTCGACTTTGGAGACGACCCCGCTTTCCAGGAAATGATTTACATGCAAGACAAAATTCACCTTTCTTCGACTGTCACATCTGATGCAGCTTTAGCTGTTTCTCTTCTCTCCCACTGGAGAGTCTTTCCTTTATGTACGTACAGTATGTCCTGATACTCCTCGTGCTGCCCGTTAGGCCTTGTGACATTTTCTCCGAGGTGGATGAGGTCGAATTTGTCCAAAGTGGTTTTGCTCACAGAGAAGAGCAACAGGTCGAAGGTGAAGACCGGGGTCGTTTCTGCAGCTCTGTTCCCTCAAATAGCTCTTTTTTTGTTTCTAATGATTATTTTGGTGCCTTCAGATGAAGTCATGAGAAATGTCCATAAATAACCTCAGTATATGAGACGTGACATAAGTTGACATTTAAAAAAAAGATGGTAGAGCTCAGCTTTTTTGTGTGTGTCAACAATAGGGATGTCAGATTCGGTTGGAATATCAAATCTTTGCTCACTACATCTTCAGTTCTTACCCTCAGGTAGCACAACCTACAGATTATGAACTTCTTTTTAAGCGTACAATCTATAACTTCTGCCGCTAGGAGGTCCCTCACATCAAAACAATAACAATAGACATTGTGAGGTAGCGTGGGATCATGGGAGTTGTCTTCACCACCATTGCAGTCAGCTTCTCCCGGTTAGGATGAATCCCTAGTTTCCATTTATTGAGTGTTTTTATTAAATGATTATATTATATATTTATTATGTCAGTCAGTACTTCCCAGCTTCTGTTTTTGGACGTCAACGGAGGAAGAAGATACATTTATTGTTGCTTTGGGTCTCTGTTGTGGGATTTATTGACAATTAGATAAATTACTGAAAATTGTGAATTGTGTTTTTTGAGAGAAACTTGTTTCAGTCTCTCTTATTGGTCCGTTAGTGGTAAATTAAATTCCTCTCAGCAGTTTTCACAGTTGTTGCACTAAGGGTGGATTACTGAGCTGTTCTTTCTCTCCTCTCAGGATTGTTGAAATCTACAGCCGTCGACTACAAGGTACCCAGGGAACTTTCAGTGTTTTTCTTTTTGCTGTCAGCCTGGATGTTGTTTGTTCTGTCTAACCTGGTTCATGTTTGTCCACAGTTCAGGAGAGGTTGACCAAACAAATTGCCGTGGCGATCACCGAGGCCCTGCAGCCGACCGGGGTCGGCGTAGTCATCGAGGCAACGTGCGTAAAAAACACACAGTAAAATGTTTTCATCTTGTCCTTTGGTTTCCTTTATTGGATTTTGTTTCCTCTTTTCTCCTACCTTCTCTTCACCTCCTTTCCTTTCCCTTCCTCACTCTCCTTTTAATTTCTTTATCGAGTTAATCTCTTCCCTTCCTTGCCGTCGGTTTTAATCCCCCTCTCTTCCTCTCTCTTCCCCTCCGCAGTCACATGTGTATGGTGATGCGAGGCGTTCAGAAGATGAACAGTAAAACCGTCACCAGCACCATGTTGGGAGTTTTCAGGGAAGATCCAAAAACCCGGGACGAGTTCCTGACGCTGATCAGGAGCTGAGGAGGATGAAGCTCCTCCTCTTCCTCCTCCTGTTGCCTGAGGTTACCTCCACCTGTGTGTGTGTGTGTGTCTACGAGTGTGTGTTTTCATCTCAACCAAAGGCAGTGACAGAGTGTTTTCTGGGTTTTAGCGTTACCATGGCGACGTGTTGTTTACTCTCAGACGGCGGGACAGACTTTAACCCCCCTTTTTGTCCACGTGTGTCGTGCGTGCTCATTAATCAAATATCAGTTATTGGCCTCAGATACAGAAGGAGAGTTTAAAACTTCAATCAATCACCAGAGTAAAATATCAAACAGCAGCTACAGTCGAGTTTAAAGGCTCTTTAAGCAGATTGTGTCGCAAATAACAACAAAATGTAGACATTTGCAGGTAAAATTAAAAATGTACGGTAGCCCAGACAGGAAAGTCTTTATTTTTTTCCTCAGGAGCAAGTTTTAAAAAAAAAATTGAGATGTGATTGTGTGAAATCTGTGAAAACAAGTTAAGAAATAATTATCTTTTCTCAGGTTCTTTTTCCTGTCTGTGACAAATTATACATACATAAGTACTAGGGGGGTAAAGATTTACTGATACAGTCAGAAATCAGTTTTAATGTTACAGATATAAATACGTCGGTACGCTGCCCCCCTGTGGGTTGATGTAAATGTTTTTGGTTTTGAGCTCTGGTGACATTTAATATCAGAATTAACAGTCCTAAACAATCCTGTAACTCTGAGACTTGAATAACTGGAGCCACATTCACAATACAAAAGTTTAAAAGTATCTCCGAAGTGCCCGAGTTAATACGGCCTCTGATTTCTAAAACACAGAATGAGAGTTTAAATATCTAACGTCGAGAATAAATCACTTTTTGATTGATTATCTGATTGACAGAAAATGAATTGTTTAAGTCAAAATGCCAAAACGTTTGCAGACTCCAGCTTCTGAAATGTGAGGATTTCTTGTTTTATATTGTTTTGAATTGAATATATTTAGATTTAAAGATGTAATTTCTGAGATTTTAGACTAAATAACTAATCGATCAGTTGAGTAAAGAACTGAAAGATGAACCGATAATGAAAATAATTGTTATTCTCCACAGAGAATCTCTTTGAACGTGGTTGCTGTTGTTTTTCGGTGATGAAAGACACTTTTAACACTCTGTCACACCTCAGAAAACCTCAGTTTACAAATCATTTTCACTTTTGTTTAGGACTTTTTGTGTTAGCTATCAGTGGATTTAACAGCAGAACTGATGCAGTTTGTGTTATAAAAAAACACACAAAAAACAACAATTTAAATGTCAAACACGATGGAAGGTATTCTCCTTTTTACTTTTAATTTCTCAACGTCTTATTATGATGATTATTACGATCCTGTGGAAGGATCCGCCTGTATGTGCCAACTCGCCTCTCCATTAAAAAAACCCC